CTTCATCATTAGTAAAAAAAATAATTGGAGACTGGAGCAGATTACCTCGATACACCTCGATGCTCCATGTTCTTCTCGGTCAAATTCTCTTCGGCTGGTCGGTTGAGCAATAACTAGCCGTTTCGCTTTCCTTTGTGAAAGAATGTCAAAGATTTAACCATACTATCGCAACTGTGACGTCTCAATCCGATTCTCGCGGATATCTGTACTATGGAGCAAGTGAGCCCAAGGATCAGCCTCTGAAACACCATTTAAGCCGCTTCCATACGGGATCGACACTTATCACTCATGGTCCACGACTCAGAAGAGTAAATGATCAATGGGATGAAGATCGACTTGAACAGAGAGAGCTTAGTCTTAACACTAAGCTCTGTTTTACATACAATGGTTCAAGCTAGTTCAGACAATTAAGAGGCAATTCCAATTCGCCGCTCGAACTCATCCTTCAGTTTTTCATAATCAGGAAACATGACCCCGAGGTATTAGAGCAATGGCGAAGAGAGCTAGAAAGCACTAGGCGTTTTGTTTCAGATACTTTCACACGCATGCCGATAAAGTCGAACCCGGTCGCGCTTAAGATCAGTTTTAGAAGACACCAGCAAGACAAGGTAGTCTGCAAACAGCAACCTTCTGATATCGACATCTACGCTTACACACTCGTTGTCCTGAATGCGCCTGGTCATTACACCAGTAGAGTTCAAAGAGAAGAAGGGAAAGAAAAGAGCCGCAGTAGTGACAAACGCCGACGGTGAAAGATTTCAACCTAACGCCATTTATCCTGACGCAAAACCTGCTATCCAGATATAGTGATTTCATGGCTCGTTCCAACTGGTTTTCAGTTCCAAATTTTTGACGACACGATCATAGTTTATTGTGCAGGATTCAGTCACAGACACCCTCGAGGTCCACAGAGTAGATTTAAACTGGAGGATCGTACTCAAACGATTTCCCAACAATCTGGCTTAAGGCAAGATCTGATCAGATGTACTTCGACCTGACCTGAAGTGATACTATACTTGTTGTATCTTAGTTAATTACTCCGCGGCATTTCCTAACATCTTTGCGTAGACGTTTTCCGAAAGGCACGGTAAGGGAAAGATTCGATAAATGGAAAACTAATGTGGCCGCCCATCATGAACAAGCGTACTACAACCAATATTCAATAATCTACTGGAGCCTTCTCCGTAACCACTGCTCTTTGAGATATTCGTATTAGTCAGAGCGTATCTTTTTCGTCTAAAGCTTTAAGCATTTTGAGGGAATTTCATCAATTACAGCAGCCCTGCCACTCTTTAAGATTATTACAGCTTTCGACACTTGACAAAGTAAAGACTAATATTCGTTACGTTCGATCTTCATGAGAGTCTTCCTGCAATTACTCGCATTAAAGTGTTCTTCAAAATACTTTTTCCATCCCTGAGGAATATCATCATCCTCGGTAAGAGGGTGTCCAGTCTTGTCCTTCAGAACTCCTTGACTGCCCTTCTTTCCCTATCAGAGGCGGCAGATGGTCTGCCAAAGTACCTTGTTTGCCGTCTGGAAATCTGACCAGCGCCTTACCAAACTTCACTCAGGAATGAACTTTCGCTTCGGCTTTTGTTCGCCATCTGGTGCGCTTCTTTGTACCGCATTCCATCTGAAGTCTTTTTGATCCCAAGCAATCTCCTGAATGCACACTTCTCGCTGACAACCTGCTGAAATTCTATAATCCGCCAGAAGTTCGTTTCTAACCTCCAGGCGGCAGGGCAATCAATTTGAATCCGCAGCATTTGCAACAGCCTAGAGGATGCCGCTCTTAAAGAGCTTCCACTCAGTTTCCACATCGGTGGTCATCACCGGGATCTATTCAAAGCATCGTGCGATGTTGTTTGCAAAGTTTGCTCTTTTATCCGCCCAAGAAAAGCAAAACTGGTTGTTTCTGCCACCAGATTTTCTTATGGTACTCCAAGCGTAGCGTGCCAACAACAAGGTGGTAATCGGTTAACAGCATTGCGAATCTCTTAACGCGAACATCCATTACAGAGCGTCGCAACTTAGACGATACGATTATCAAATCGATCATCGACTTCTGTGCACCAGCTTCCTTGCATCAGGTATACTGATTCACGCTTCGATGCTAGGTGTTCATAATCGACCGCTCGTTGCTTATGCAAAACCGCAGGAACTTCATGCCATTACTGTTGAGGTCGTTAGGGCCGTCCTTTCCAATCACGCGTTTTCGTTTTTCAGTGTCTGCTCCAACATGCGCGTTGAAACTGCCGATTAGAATGAGGGGTTACGCAATCGGTACCTCGTCCAGAACATAATGTACTTTTCAAGGAAGGACTCATATTGTCCCTCGAAACTGCCATTCTTCCACTAAAAGGCTTCCATTCAGTAATTCAGTCTGTCAGGTTGGATTCTACCAGAACACAAACAGCGATATAAACGGGTGGACTCGACACCTCAGCAAAATGGTTTGCACACGCAAAGTTTCAGAATTTCATTGCCATGGGTTTCTTTGAGACCATTAAACTCTGTCGACATGGTATCGCGCGGCCTCATCAACCATATCCAACTTTTTCCCTACAAGCAAGATGTTCAACTTCAGACAGCGAGCTACCACTGTTGCTGTGGAGCCTTCTTTCACGTTCTGCAATGATATTGCGCTGTCGGTCGCCTCCATTCAAATGGGTAGTGATGCGCTGGTGAC